AAAAGCTAAAAAGATTCGTATTACGAAGGAATATTGCCTCGTATTATGCTTGCGCCGAATTCACTGTAACATACGAATAACATAGGTCAAATTTCATTGTAAGGCATTCAGAGTGCAAACGAACGTGACATTTTGTCCCGTTCATTCCGACGTGATAAGGCGTTCCTGGAATATGAGCGATGATGCAGAAAAAGACCGAACATGTGCACACTCGACTTCTATCAGTGATCTCCCGGACGTGCGATGCTCGCGGGAGATTCCGTGCGTATGGTCGTCTGAGTGCCACTTGAAAAATGAAACTTTCATTTCGGGGCTGATTTTGGTCTGAATAGCATCTGGAGTACCGCAAGATGCCCCTTCAAGCTGGGGCGCGCGTCAAGTTCATTTTCACTTTTTACCCCTTTAAAAAAAATCAAAGTAATAATGGATCTTACAGATTAGAGATGACACAATTCATGTTTCGGTCCGTGTGCGAAAACATCCGACTTTCCCTGTGTTTCGGCCTCGCGCCTTCTTTTGGACTCTCCCCGCCCTTCGTACTTTATAGTATTCGGCTGATGAGGAAAATTTTTCATGCCTCGATCATGCATCAACCGGAAACAGCGTGATCTTTAAATTGAAGGAAGACTGATGCTTCAGACTTACGGTGGACGCGTACGGGCACGGCACTGGCCGGTGGAGGCGGTCAAAAGTTTTTTATATGCTTACAAAACTTACAAGAGAGAGCCTGTATGGGAGGGCGTCGGTGGTCCTGCTCCTGCTGCCCCGGTAAGGAAAAGAACCATGGCCGTCCCCAACAGATCGCTTTCCAAAGAACAGAAAAATGTGACGTGGATGACAACTGACTAGTGACAAGATGACGACATCATCGCTGGCGGTCAAAGTACCCCAGATAAAATTTCTCCAGGCAACTTTGAGCAAAGGTTAGCAGGGGTCGGGCACAGCCCAAGCCCTGCGGTGGGCAACTACCGGGCAACACCCGGGCAACTCTGAGCAACTATCGGGCAACTTTGCGCAACTGTCCGGCTTGTTGAAGCATCACCCGGGCAAAGTCCCCAGCGGGCAAAAGTGCGCACCAAGTGACTCCAGCGCAGCGCGGGGAGGGTGAGAGGGGAGGGGTATGGAGGCAGGGTGGTCAGACGCTCACACCGAGTCGTTGCCCGGGTGTTGCCCGGGTGTTGCCGGGTGTTGCCCGGGTGTTGCCCGGGTGTTGCCCGGGTGTTGCCCGGGTGTTGCCGGTGTGCCCGGGTGTTGCCCGGGTGTTGCCCGGGTGTTGCCCGGGTGTTGCCCGGGTGTTGCCCGGGTGTTGCCGGGTGTTGCCCGGGTGTTGCCCGGGTGTTGCCGGGTGTTGCCGGGTGTTGCCCGGGTGTTGCCCGGGGTTGCGGGTGTTGCCCGGGTGTTGCCCGGGTGTTGCCCGGGTGTTGCCCGGGTGTTGCCCGGGTGTTGCCCGGGTGTTGCCCGGGTGTTGCCCGGGTGTTGCCCGGGTGTTGCCCGGGTGTTGCCCGGGTGTTGCCCGGGTGTTGCCCGGGTGTTGCCCGGGTGTTGCCCGGGTGTTGCCGGGTGTTGCCCGGGTGTTGCCCGGGTGTTGCCCGGGTGTTGCCCGGGTGTTGCCGGGTGTTGCCCGGGTGTTGCCCGGGTGTGCCGGGGTTGCCCGGGTGTTTGCCCGGGTGTTGCCCGGGTGTTGCCCGGGTGTTGCCCGGGTGTTGCCCGGGTGTTGCCCGGGTGTTGCCGGGTGTTGCCCGGGTGTTGCCCGGGTGTTGCCCGGGTGTTGCCCGGGTGTTGCCCGGGTGTTGCCCGGGTGTTGCCCGGGTGTTGCCCGGGTGTTGCCCGGGTGTTGCCCGGGTGTTGCCCGGGTGTTGCCCGGGTGTTGCCCGTGGGGTGTTGCCCGGGTGTTGCCCGGGTGTTGCCCGGGTGTTGCCCGGGTGTTGCCCGGGGGGGTTGCCCGGGTGTTGCCCGGGTGTTGCCCGGGTGTTGCCCGGGTGTTGCCCGGGTGTTGCCCGGGTGCTGCCCGGGTGCTGCCCGGGTGCTGCCCGGGTGCTGCCCGGGTGCTGCCCGGGTGTTGCCCGGGTGTTGCCCGGGTGTTGCCCGGTAGTTGCCCACCGGGTGCCACCTTTGCTCAAAGTTGCCTGGAGAAATTTTATCTGGGGTAAGCCTTTTATGAAGTCAAGTGCGGGGTCGTTTACATATATGCTGCGCGGGAGAATCTGCAGTGTGAATTGTACACAGGAACTGATGTCACACTTTGAAGGGAATAAGGAGGGTAGTTGTAGTGTGACTCAATTGCTCTTAAAGTGTTCACAAATATGCTATTTTGTTTGTAGTATGAAGTATGCATTGGCCATTGTCTACACTCTAAATGTCTTACGAAGAAATTTCCCATAATACGAAGGAAATGGCGCAAGCATAATACGAAGGTGGTTTTTCTTCGTATTACGAAGGTTTATCTTTGTATCTTACGATGAAAAAGCTAAAAAGATTCGTATTACGAAGGAATATTGCTTCGTATTATGCTTGCGCCGAATTCACTGTAACATACGAATAACATAGGTCAAATTTCATTGTAAGACATTTAGAGTGTAACTCTACCTGTGTTACTGTGTTACGTTAGCGTGTCCCAAAGTTGCCAGCCCGAACTTTACTGAACTTGAACTGTGCTCTTTCTTTGCAGTTTTTTCGGCAGTTCACAACAGTTTTGTGAAAAATACCGTTTTGCAAAACAACAAATCATAATTTTTGAATTGATAGGGATTTTCAGTTTTACTACCCCCTTCCCCTCCCTCTCCATCTCTCTCTCCTCTTTTCTTTGTTAGTAGATGCTTTAGTTTGTCAGTCAGTTGTCGAACCCGGGCCGCAGGGTTGTCAGACCGCAACGCTGCCAACTGCGCTACGGAGACGAGGGATTACCGCGACTCCACGGGGAATTTTCTCGTCATTTGCCGTGACAAGCCGATCTTAAACCAGTGTAGAGCTCAACCTGGCGACATTTAGAAGATTTCAACTTTTCCAAGGTAAAAGAATATTTAGGGTACGTCATCACATTTTCGGGATGTTTGACCTCCCCCCTCCCCCATGTTATCAGACGTAATCAACAGCTTGGATACCCCGCCTCTCTCTCTCTCTCTCTCTCCAGGGACGGACTGGCCCGGGTGGGATGTGTTGGAATCGAGAGGTTGAGGCTTGCTACGCTCGCCAGGACAACGCGTTTTCATATTTCATCCACGCCTTTTAAAGTTAAGCCTGCACAGTACCTACATTTTCAACCCGCCGCTGCCCCTGGATGGTAGGCAAATCCGGGCCCCTTGGGTGTGTTTCCCACCTTAATCTTTACATCCCAGTCCGTCCCTGTCTCTCTCTCAAAAAAACGTGATCAACCAAGATTATGAACAATGTAAGGATTCAGAACCCACCTTTTGCCTTTCTTTGCACACACAAAATAGAAGAGGAATAATTACACTACAAACCTAACTGCCTACTAAGTACACACTTACAAATGCATGCTTGCAAGTACACACCACACCAAATGTCATGGGACTTTTTTTGTCCCATGAATGATGCAATTTTAAGCACATCCGGAGGTGATACAATTTGCTGTCCGCCAGGCGGGACAAATTGTTTAGTGAAAGTACAATTTGCAGCAGGCAAATTTTGACGACGCGTTGGACAAAATGTGTCGCCAGGCGAGACCAAAATTGTTTCGGCGTCAGGTGTGCTAATTGCATAAATCGTGGGACAAAAAAGTCCCATGACATTTAGTGTGTACACACTTACAAACGCATGCTTGACGCGACGCCGTACAACTCCATGTGTCAAGCATGCGTTTGTAAGTATGTATTTGCAAGCATGCATTTGTAAGTGTGTACTTAGTAGACAGTTAGGTTTGCAGTGCATAAAAGAAAATAATAAGACTTGTCATAAAACTAAACGGACAGGGTTCAAAAAGCAAAGCTTAGTTCTTAAACAGTCTTTTAACATGTGCTTCTTTTTTTGGACTAAAAGCTGAAGCAACAAAGGTAACTTTAAAATTTTGTTGCCTAAAGCTCCCATCACGTAGAAACAAGGTAGGTTTACGCCAGACCGCGTCTTGTCGTAACAGGCTTCGCGATGTTTCGCTGCCTGTTCCTCCAATCCGCGCCTGGCGTACCTACCTTGGCCTACGGCGCTAGCCTGCCTTCGGCAGGCAATGGCTTGTCCATCGTCGGTCACTTCTAACTTGTTGCATGCTGGGGGGCTCCGCCCCCAGACCCCCCTTCCTTCTAGGTAGAGTTGCCTTATCTCCAGATAGCATGATCTTGACCCTTGTAACCTTTGAACTTAACGAGGCTGGGGGCTCCGCCCCCCAGACCCCCCTTTTTCAGGACAGAAGGCATCCTACCTGCAGAAAACTCGATTTTTCGCCGTTTTTTATGTGTTTTTCGGCTATAAAAACTGAACCCGTTGAGCTACGATAGTGAGATTTCGCGTGTGCCGAGCCTAGGACATGCCTAAAGAGTGTGCAAAATCTCACCGAGATCGGCCGAGCCGTTCAGGAGGAGTAGTGCGGACAGACACACACACACACACACACACAGACAGACAGACAGGAAAAACTTTTCAACCCCACTGGAGTAACAGGCTTCGCTATCGCTCAGCCAATAACTGGAAATGCAAAGATTTAGACTGCGAAATAATATTGCTTTAAGCGTGTTGTTTCAACATTTGCTTTTGTTTTCGTGGACCGGCAGGCGATGCAAAACAAGCGTTTTGAACTGGATTGCTAGCGCGTAGACAAGCGCGTGGAGGATCTGCGCACATCGTGCGTTGGCGTGCACTAATGGACGATGCTGACGTTTTTCCGTGCATGTTCAGGCTTAAAAACAAGCGATGTCACCAAATAAGTTGGTTATGTAACGTAGACGGTTACCCCCTTTTCCCAACGTAATCAAGCCACATAACCACCTCCCCCTCCCACATCGGTGATTACGTGACGACCCCTTTCCACGAAGCAGGCATTGACTTCGCTGCACTTCAACTCTGTTGAGTGTTTTCGTCTAGGTGGCCACAGGTACTTAAGCGGATGGCGCGCTGGGGGATCCATTCGTGAATCCTCCTCGCCGACAACATGAACGCCACACTGACGATCGCCCTGGCTCTGCTCGCCGCGGCGGCCTGCGCCCAGGTAAGGCCCGCGTTCAAATCCAAGTGCGGGACAGGTAGACACTCGCAGGTGGAGGCCACAATGCCCTACCTGTGTACTGACTCGGCTTTGTTCCTGGTTTTCCCCAGACGGCCTACAGTAAACACTGGCACTGGACACTGGCAAGTGTAGGACATTTTGTCTTACGCTTGCGAGTGGGTTCTTCTTGGACGAGGAATGTTGTTGTTGTTGCATTCAATGCATGACCGATGCTCTCTTTGCAGGCTGCTCCCTCTCACGAGTCCGCGCTCACCAACACCTCGACGAAGGGTACGTGCAACGGTGCATTCACCCTTCCACCTCAGCCAGAGTCACTGACGAAGCCCGCGCCCTCCAGTAGGTCTGAAGACCCGTGGAGGCGGTCCAAATCTCGGACACGTTTTGCGCTCCAGAGTCGCTCAATGGGTCTCGTGGCCCTACCAATGGATTGCTCTCCGGAAGAGGGATCCATTCTTAGAGGGGTTACCCATTCGGCCCGAGTCAAGTTTAGCCATTTCGGAGCTCTAACGTGTCTAGAGCTTTGGCCGCCTGCGTTGGTCTTGCCTCAGGCCTCAGGCTGAGGACCAGTGTCCGTGATGTACTTCACTGCCAAAAAAATGGTTTTATGGCAACAACACAACTACCGACCTCGACAACACTGTTGTTCACGAAAAAGATTCCTTTTTCAAAAACGACGAGTTTGTTGCTAATTTTTTTACCGACTTACGATGCCTTAAAACAATTCTCAAGTCGTTTAACCAGGTCTAAGTAACAAGTGACTGCTATGGGTCACTGGGACAACACTGAGAGCCTGGGTCTTAAAAGGCAATCAAAATTGATGCTCTTCCGTTGGCTACTGTTTTACAAACATTCCGCTGGCGAACATCTTGGATCTTAGTAAACAAATTATTTTGTCAGTTTACAACTTAAGTCTTTTCAAAATTAGCGACGTGGTTACCGCTGAGATACAAAATTGTTTTTTAATATAATATTCTTTTCAACGTTCCGTTGCTGACTTGTGGCCTCGTGTCTGTGCAGCGCTGCCCCCGAAGCTGGCCTGCTACCTCGAAAAATCGCTCGTGTACGTCGCTGAACTCAACTACTACTGCTGGGCCAAGGCGAAGCTTCTCATCCACCAGGAACCGAACCTTATCCTCACCTTCGCCGATTGCGTGTTCACCGGGATCAACAACCCAGAATCAACCGGGTTGGCGCCAGTTTTTGAATGCTAGCGCATTAGTGTATTCATGAAAAATAGATGAAACACATGTTTATAAAATGCTGTTTTTTTATTCGTCCCAGTGATTGCAATGACAAGTCACGTTACATTACAGGAGTTTAGTACACTGTTAGAAATTAGCTCCGAAATTTTATGGAGAAAAACCCTATAATCACGTACATGGAGACTCCATTCATTTTCCATCTTTTTTCGGAGAGATTTTCTCAGGGCTTAAACAGATGTTCTTCGGAGCATTACTTGGGTTCTGATGGGAGGTAAAATGCATGTCTTTTCTCAGAATGGTTAAAGAGGGCTTCGCTGAAGCATTCTTTAGTCTGAAATGGTCAAAGAAGGGACAATCTTTTTCGAGCTCATTTGACTTAAATCCTGTAGCTTTCCCGTAATATTATGAAAACAGAGGTAAACAAGTAGGGGTTTACCTTTCCCTCATTTTTCAACTGGTTGCAAACTTTTTTTCGTGATAGTGAAGCATGCATTTTTGTTCAAAATTTCGAAAATTTTTGGAGAAAGCCCAGAATTTGCATTTGTGGAGAGCTCCATGCAAAAGTTTCGGAAACACTCCATGATTTTTCCATTTTTTTCGGAATTTTCTGACAGTGTAGTGGGGTGGGCAGGGTGTGAACTAACAGTGTGAATGGTGCAACAGTAAAAGGAAAAGTAGCGATACACATCGGCAACTTTGGCGCGTCCCGAAGTCCATAAGGCGGCGTGCAAATATTACGTCACCACTTTGGGGGGAGGGTTACGGCCTCTGATAACGGTCCTATCTTTACTTCATAGGAAGGTTAGGTTAAACCAATGACGGACGGGGGGAGGGGGTCAAAAAGAGGCCTAAAAGAGGTGACGTAGTTTTTGCACGCTGTCTAAAGAAAAGTGCGACTTTCGCCTATGTTTAACTCCAACGTGATTCAATCCTGAGTATGGTTCAAAAAAATCGTTATTTTCGACATCAGCGCCCTCAGAAACTTGAGGAAGAATGAAAAAAAATAAGAAAAAAAAACCTGTTGGAAAATACCCCAGTGGGATTTTTGGCTGAGCGATAGCGAAGCCCTTGCCGTGTTTTGGCACGCTGAAAAGTGACTGGTCGTGCGTCTGTCTGTCTGTCTGTCCATCTGTTCGTACACGGTCACGTTTCTCAGCGACTTTTACAGGTAGAGTTTTCATACTTCGCATGTAACTTACATGGCGAGGACAGAGAATGCGCCCAAACGCATGGAATCATCCGCTCGACAGAACGTAAGCGTACGGGCCACAACCCGTTCACTAAATCTCACAGGTGTCTCGCCTAAAGTTTAAAAGAAGTGAAAGCGAAAAATGGCCAGGTGGACCGAAATCGATAGGCCGAGTAGCAAGCTCGCTTTCGATGACACGGAATGTTACACACAAACCTGACACATGCCGGATTTCTACCATTGATGGTCCAGCCAGCCGAAATGGAGCGTTCCAGCGAAAATTACGACCGCCGGCAGTGCCAAATTTCAGCAAGCTGAGGAGTATTTCAGGGCCAGGATGGCAAAGTATTAGCATCCAAGCAAGCGCAGTGCCGTCGCGTTTCGAAACTAGACGGCCACCGCGAGTCCCTTGCACTCTGTAAAAAATATGTTGTGAATTTACGACGGAATATTTTCCGAAGGGTTTTTGGGAATGTCCAAAAGTGCACTGTAAATGTTTCTTTCCTACAGGAACTTTTGTAAATCAACGTAGGTTCGTCGTTAATTTACGTAGGAACTTTGTAAATTTACGAGGAAAAGTCGTAAATTTACAAAATCTGTTGTAAATTTACGAAGGGCTTCGTAAATTTACGACGTGCTTCGTTAATCTACGACGGGTCTTCGTAAATCTACGGCGGACCTTCGTAAATAAACGAAGGAACTGTTGGCATTTTTTTGCCGAAGGATCCGTCGTTAATTCCAGACGTATAATTACGAAGAATCTCTGTTTATTGGCTGAGCGACAGCGAAGCCCGTTACTCCAGTGGGGTTGAAAAGTTTTGTCTGTCTGTCTGTTTGTCTGTCTGTCTGCGTGTGTGTGCACTACTCCTCCTGAACGGCTCGGCCGATCTGGCTGAGATTTTGCAGGGTCATTAGATATATCCTTGGCTCGCCACACACCAAAATTCAGCTTTCTATCTCAATCCATTCGGTCATATTAGCCAAAAAACACTTAAAAAACGGCAGAAAAAAGACAACTTTTTGCGTATTTTCAACTTTGTGTCAAGTTTCATATCGTTTCATATGTTTTTGAGGCTGCTGATGACGAAAATAGAACCCGTTCGGACCCCCGACCGAAAGTTGAATCCGACTGGTGTAGATTTTGATGACCAAATGCTATTTTTGAGGGGATCACGCCCATCTCTACAGCCTGCCTAGGGAAGCAGCCTGCCGGAGGCAGGTTAGCGCCGCAGGCCAAGGTAGGTACGCCAGGCGTGGATTGTCGAAACTGGCGCAGCATCGCGAAGCCTGTTACGACAAGACACGGTCTGGCGTACACCTACCTTGTTACCGAAGTTTCTTTGTTTATAAACGAAGGTTCCCTGTAAATTTACGAAGGATCTTTGTAGATTTACGAAGGTGCTTCGTAAATTTCCATTGTGATTAGAAAATCAGCAGAGACCTTTCAAAAAATTAACGAAGGTTTTTGTAAATATACGAAGAGCTTCGTAAATTAACGAACGAACCGTTGGCAATTTTTTTGCCGAAGGATCCGTCGTTTATTCCGGATATTAATTTTTACAGTGCACCCTGCCTGTTTCCAGTGAATCCTCCCCCCCTGTCCCCCCTCTCTGTCTCTCTCTCTAACGTCTAACCGTCCTACAGCGGTGTGACATCCGTCCGCCTCTCCAAGGACGCCGCGGAGGAAGTGATGGTCCTGCCGAAGCAGCGCGGCCAACGTCCACCTTCACCGACTGCGCAGGAGGAGTTCGCGAGGCGCCACCAACATGGCCGCTTCCCGGCCTGCCTCAGTTTACGTCCGCCTTTTTGGCCAAAAAATTTTGGCCAAAAACGGGTCAGCTTTACGGATCGTGCTATAGAAGGGGAAATCAACCAAAACGGAAGAAAATGGAAATACAAGCACGGCTCAACGTTAAAATAAGTAAAACTGGCGTAAATAACGTAAATTACGTCCATAGAAGCCAACACAATGGCCAAAACACCGATTCCACTTGCACATGATGTTATATCTTCCAACTTCAGTGCCTTCAAAAGACAACTTCTGCAGTGGTTCAAATTCATTGGTGCTCAAATTATTGAACAACTGGTCGTCGGTCACCTTCGTTTGACACCCAGCAGGCAATTTGAACCACCACGGTTGCCTACCCACAGCGCCTCAAACATGCCGAATTGAACGATCTCATCGCGTTTTCTCGCAAGTTCGCGGCCTCTGGAATCCGATGCCGTGGTGGTTCAAATTCATTGGTGCTCAAATTATTGAACTACTAGTCGGTCACCTTCGTTTGACACCCAGCAGGCAATTTGAACCACCAGGGGGGTTGCCTACCCGCATCGCCTCAAACATGCTTGATCGAACGATTTTCTTGCGTTTTCTCGCAAGTTCCCGGCCTCTGGAATCCGATGCCGTGGTGGCTCAAATTCATTGGTGCTCAAATTATTGAACAACTGGTCGGTCACCTTCGTTTGACACCCAGCAGGCAATTTGAACCACCACGGTTGCCTACCCACAGCGCCTCAAACATGCCGAATTGAACGATCTCATCGCGTTTTCTCGCAAGTTCGCGGCCTCTGGAATCCGATGCCGTGGTGGTTCAAATTCATTGGTGCTCAAATTATTGAACTACTAGTCGGTCACCTTCGTTTGACACCCAGCAGGCAATTTGAACCACCAGGGTTGCCTACCCGCATCGCCTCAAACATGCTTGATCGAACGATTTTCTTGCGTTTTCTCGCAAGTTCCCGGCCTCTGGAATCCGATGCCGTGGTGGTTCAAATTCATTGGTGCTCAAATTATTGAACAACTGGTCGGTCACCTTCGTTTGACACCCAGCAGGCAATTTGAACCACCACGGTTGCCTACCCACAGCGCCTCAAACATGCCGAATTGAACGATCTCATCGCGTTTTCTCGCAAGTTCCCGGCCTCTGGAATCCGATGCCGTGGTGGTTCAAATTCATTGGTGCTCAAATTATTGAACAACTGGTCGGTCACCTTCGTTTGACACCCAGCAGGCAATTTGAACCACCACGGTTGCCTACCCACAGCGCCTCAAACATGCCGAATAGAACGATCTCATCGCGTATTCTCGCAAGTTCGCGGCCTCTGGAATCCGATGCCGTAGTGGTTCAAATTTATTGGTGCTCAAATTATTGAACAACTGGTCGGTTGACTTCGTTTGACACCCAGCGAGCAATTTGAACCACCACGGTTGCCTACCCACAGCGCCTCAAACATGCCAAATTGAACGATCTCATCGGGTTTTCTTGCAATTTCGCGGCCTCTAGAATCCGATGCCGTGGTGGTTCAAATTCATTGGTGCTCAAAATATTGATGAACTAGTCGGTCACCTTTGTTGAGACCCAGCAGGCAATTCGAACCACCACGGTTGCCTACCAGCATCGCCTCAAACATGCCGAATTGAACGATCTCATCGCGTTTTCTCGCAAGTTCGCGGCCTCTGGAATCCGATGCCGTGGTGGTTCAAATTCATTGGTGCTCAAAATATTAAACAACTAGTCGGTCACCTTCGTTTGACACCCAGCAAGCAATTTGAACCACCACGGTTGCCTACCCACAGCGCCTCAAACATGCCGAATTGAACGATTTTCTTGCGTTTTCTCGCAAGTTCGCAGCCTCTGGAATCTGATGCCGTGGTGGTTCAAATTCATTGGTGCTCAAATTATTGAACAACTGTTCGGTACCCTTCGTTTGACACCCAGCAGGCAATTTGAACCACCACGGTTGCCTACCAGCATCGCCTCAAACATGCTTGATCGAACGATTTTCTTGCGTTTTCTCGCAAGTTCGCAGCCTCTGGAATCCGATGCCGTGGTGGTTGAAATTCATTGGTGCCCAAAATATTGAACA